AGCATGAGCACACCACAGGAGGTGGAGGCCATTCTCGAGGCGCGTCCTCATCAACTGAGTGGGGAAAGCATCATCGTCCGACCCGCCTATTTGCCAGCTCCAGGGTGGGTTTCGCTGAAATTTTTGCCAGCTGATGCATGTTATGTGAGTCTAATCGCTCTGTCCGTCCATTCGCAGTGAAGCAAGAGCCTCCAAAGTCGTCAAAAATGGCTGTCAGTCAACCGTGCTTGACCTTTCCCTTCAAAGAAGTATTCGCATTCGACATCGCGGCAGGAGTGTGTATCCTCGCGTTGGCATGCCTAATAACCTGGAAGCGAGGACTGGAAGTGTGCGAATATCTAGGAGCTCTTGTCGAAATTCGTTCTACTCGTGATACAACCAGATGTTTATGATGATATTTATAACTTTTTATAAATTGAATTCTTGTATAAGGTGCACGGCTGGAGCTTAATTAATGTGATCGACAAGAAACAGATCGTTGTCTGCATCAGATCCAAGTGTATACACCTTCGACCTAAATTTGAGGATGGTTATGTCCTCACCCCTTTGTGTGATGTTTGATGTCAGGTGACTATTTGAGCTGTGTATTATTACACACCGCATCAGTAACAAAACGAATGGGGATAAAAGGTATCTCTGCAAATTGTTGGCACTTCTGACAATACCTGAATGCGTGTAGTGGATTTATACGTCTTCTTCACAGGGCTGGGCACGTCATTTGCACCCGCTGCTCTGCTGTTATAATGTGAGAATAAGGAATCTGAATTTTGCCTATCTGAAATGAATGCTGCGCATTATCGGTGTGTGGGTGGAATCCTAAAATATAATTTTGAAACACAGAAATGTGGCGGCAATTCCTTGCTATTTGTGAATTTCCATTTCATAGGATTTTAATGATTCCTTATCCAGCCAACCTGATCAAGTGATTGGGATGCTACTCCTGATTGCAATATATGGTCATGAGTAGGTTAATGATAACCAATTCCAACCAATCTACATAACCAATCCATATATACTGTCTGCCACATCAAGGAAGAGCTGTCGGATCCAGCCTCCCAGTGATGATGGTATAAGGTAGATGAGTTTAATCTGAAATAAAAGGTGTGGACACAATCATTGTAATTGTCTAAAGAATTTCAGTAAGTGGTTTCTCGTGTAGATTGGTAAATATGCATAGCCAACTTACAGAGCATGTGTTAAACATCCGTGACGATAGATATAACTAAGCCAGTTAGGGGTTGCACGCATATTGCAGGACGACTTTCTTCCGTGTCAATCAACCAACCTCCGCAACTGTCAATATTTCGCTTTATGTGAACTAGCACAAGTTATGAAGGAATTTGGGTAAATTTGGATCATTTACTAAATGTGCACTGATTAGAGGCTATGTTGGTATAAGGAGAGAGGTAAAGAGGGTATTTTCACATGAAACGAAGCATATGCGTCACAATTAGATCTGGTGGTTAATGTGTCCCCCAAGATCTGTGCGGTAGTTTCGTTTAAGTTTTCCTTGTGCAAACGTGAATGTAGGGTGAAAGAAGGGGCTGCTTATTACCGAGAGACCAATATTTTGCATAGACGAGGAGATTTCACAATATTTCCTACCTAGTAATATTTAAATAGATAATTCGGCCACTCTGACATGGGGGCCTACACTCTCCCCGTTTTATCATTAGTTGAGGCGGTGATCTGATCGGTGCTAGTTAAACACGCAATTTCTTTCTTTGCAACATTCTGATTACGGTCGCATGTTCCAGCCCAAGCTCAAATCATGTTACTATCATCAGGATCAGTGCATAACACCGCCAAGACATCACATTGCTTAGGTAGTTTTGATGATACGCATCAGATATTTGCCACATATGTAAGGGTCTAAATGTAGCATTAAACTTGTGGGCAAAGGAAGACAGTTTACACGTTAGTCATTTCTCTCCCTCATGAGACAATTGGTAACTGTCAAATCAACTGCAAGTCTAGTGTAGACAAGGTAATGGCATATTTTCTATCCTATTAGGCTAATGCGAGCCTCGTAATCTGTCAAGGCTCAACATCCGCCAGGTACTCAACACCATTGACAAGCTTCAAATGAACTTCTGGTGGACAATAGTTGCAACATGGCATTCGAAAAACACCAACATTGCAGTGAGAGGAATACGCACTTCACTTCTGCCTCGCGAGGTGCGCTTTACTCTGCCTCTCCCTCTCGCCTTCAACATGCAGCTCAATTTGCATAGAAACACATCATAGCGACAGAATAATAGGTGGGTAAATATTGCCTGATCTCGCATATGATTCTAGCATCGGACCCTGTTCAAAAGTCACACAAATCCAAATGATGAATGTAAGAGTCTTGAGAAGAGCTGTAATTCCATTTGAAGTTTTTATTGGAACTGAGTGCAAAAGGAGACAACCTGAAATTTAGCTATTCACCTTGGGCCAGAAGGTGCTAATCAAAGCATGAAGATCTGCACCTCGTGAGCGCACATTTGCAGCAGCACAGGTATGCAGCTTTAGGAGGATCGGGATATCTGGAAAGGAAGAGTGAATGGACAAGTACTTGCTCACCTGCATTCAAAATGTACAGGCAGGGAGGAGCAGAGACTAATGTCACTGAGGAGGGGAGGGGGCGCTGTCATTGTATCTGTCTACTTATGCACCCTTGCTTTGGTGAATTCCCCAAAAATGTCCAAGAGCCTGTGATTGCCATTTCATTTCAGAACGGGTAAAAGACTATTAACATTAGTAGAAGCCTCTTTGTCATTGCAACTGACCGAAAGGTGTATAAATGCCCTAACACATGGCAGCTGCTCCTGCCAAATGCGAATAGCATTTGAACTGCACCAGCCGTTGGGTACTGTGCACCGATATGCAATATGATAAAACAAATACGCCACTACATAAAGCATGAAAAAGGAACTTAATAAACGTCTGTGCCAGAGGTCACAATTCTGAATCGTGCTTCACCTCTCTGAATGCTATACAACACTCCACTCCTCAAACGCAGGTGAATTCAACCCATCGGTCCACAGTGATTCTACTAGTACAAAGTGGCAATAATGCTGAGCATGTAAATGATTTCTAAATGACTTTAGCACACAAACCTACTATTAACATCTGTTGCTATCAATAGCATAAGTCACACAAGGAGGAGAGGCCAAAAGAAGAGGCTAATCATACTTGATTGAAACCACATAAAGTGGGATTTGATAGCAGCAATGGGCTGGTATTTTTCCCGTTAAACGATGCTAATGCCGGCCTCGTAGCCTTGGCGACATCTCAGTTGGTGCTTGAAACCACCTAACAGAAAACGAAAATTGAATTCTTTGTCTACGACTTCTATGAAACGATCATCGCGGCAATACGCATTACGGTTAGCGATACAGCTGAGATGTGTATGTGAATGATTAAGGACTTGCGCACCTCCATTCATGATCCTTGGGAAGGAAGAGGTGAGGAGTCATTTCTATGAGGCGGAAAGGATCTGATGCCACTGTCATCTGTAGCATCTCTGTAGTGGAAAAACCCACAAAGGATCTGTGCAAATTTCCATCCACCCTCACACCGATGATACAATCGAATCGACCAGTTTAGCAGCGAATGTCATTCATTCTTGGGCCATCAACAACCAACAGATGTTTGATTTTGACCTCATTGGAAGTCTCTCTGCTTCCGCAATTGTGTGAAATGTGTTTAGGTCTAACAGCACATGGCATAGTGCGCAAGAGTGGCAGTGGATGCCACTTTTAGTCTCACCAAAATCAAATGCCAAATTATAGTTCGCTTTTAGACTTTAGCCTCCTAAAGCATTACTGCAAATAAAAAGCTAACTCACTCGTGCAGAGGAGTGACTGCTGACCCCTCTTCTTCCTCTTTTTTTCTCCCAGCTGAAGATCTCTGACTTCACTGGATCACCGTCAATGAAATGCCGGCAGTCGGCAGGCGCACAATTCGCACATGTTCCCTCCATGAAGGTAACGAAGACGCAGCGGTTCGACTCATGCGTCCTAAAGTAGCTCCAGATGCAACATTGTGTAATGGCACCATATTGAGCAAAATAATGTCAGGACTGATTCGCCGCGTAGTTCTGACCGAACTTGCCCACAAATGGCTACATCGGAGATGTCGCTGATGTGGTGTCTGTGATGGCGGTGGTGATGAGGTTTCTACCTCCAAGCATGCACACCAACAATATACAACAACTTTTAACAATGTTTAAATTAACTCTTGATCCTCCCATTCCTACATCCTACTTACGCCACTACCTTCCGCTTCCTCGGCAACTTGATGATTGAATGGGTATGATCGCCCCTTGACACCTACCATTTGTGTCTAACGTAGCTGCTAGGCAGGACGCCATCATCAGCACTGATTGAATAAGAAAAGGGGTTAGGTAGGGAGTTTGGGCATCTGCGATCCTTAAAATTTTCACATTCATCAGGGTAATGGAGTGTGTAAGTCAACATTGAAAACAATATCACCTTTTAATACTTCTCACTGGTGTTTGCGCTTTCGCATGCCGACCAAAATAAGGTAGACGACAGCGTTTAGGGAAAGGTGGATTTTGCAGTGGTAAAAGTTGGCGCTAATCCATCTTGTAACCGTATCTGCATCAGTTGAAGGGTTTGAAATCCTCGTTATTAGAGGCAAAGAAGAGTACGAATGATGGGCTTTTTGGTGTCTAGGCAAATGCCAGGCTAGAGATGCTTATTTTCGAGATCGAATCACTGGACCATGTTTTAGCAAAGCTGGAGGTGGTGGAGAAGGACAGCTACAAGTGAATGGGTGCCATCTTGTGTCGACATGACTGAAGATAAAAGAGCGCAAATGGGAAAGATCATAGTAGTCAGTGATGCAGGTTGCCTGTATTTCGATTTACTCCGTTAGTTGCTACTTCCACTGCTATTTTTCTCATATGTACAACTCTTGAGAATTGGTGACGAGGCAGAAGAATTAATAAATGCCCTTCGTTGAAGCCATAGGATTCGATGATACGGTGAAGGAACCACAGCTTCTACCCATAACGCAAATATATTCGTCTGACCGGGTCACAAGGGTTAATTAATTAACAATCCTCTGCCCCCTTATGTGTGGGTAACTGTGTACCATTTAACTTGTCAGTTTGGGAGAAGGTTAATTTGACACACCAGTGGAAAATAAATCTCCAAGATTCCTTTATTGTGGCTCTTTTGATGTTGCATAAGGATTTGCTGGTTCGGGAATTCTGTGCACGGCATGGAGACTTCGACTTTCTTGCTAAGTGGGTTTTACCCTAGAGGCCTTCTGCATTTGCCTTGTAACAACTACAAGGGGGCTGTAGAACAGCAGCACATACCTTCTAGCCAAAGTGCAGCAAAGCAGCAAATGCATGACAATGGGGGTTATGACGTCATAAACTTCAACTCAAAATGGGAATGATCTGTAGGATAAATGTTGTCTCCCAATCTGAATTCCATTTATTATCTCTCATTTGCTCCAGTTGCACTGCTTGACCACAGAAGACACTGGTAATAGTGACTCACCTTTAATGGACACATAATTTTGCCTTCGTTCTCCTTGATTGTGAGTGACTTAAGCCTAGCCATTTGTGAGGCAGTAGTATCTCTTCCATGACCCATGTCTTGCTCTACATTGAAAATGGGAGGTGAATGCTACATGAGGACTGCATTTACTCACTCATTCATTTAATAACTGAGGAGACAGAAAGCGCTGTTAAGAGTGAGTATGCTTCGGAATTATTCATCTTTAAGTTCTGCTCGAATGTAATGAGTTGTTTACAATAAGAGTTAAGGAAGCATAAGAGTAGGAGGATACACGGAGTGTATAATTAATTGCATTCCTTTCACAAGTCATCCTGCTATCTGGCTACTTCCACGCTAAGTGTTAGGTGATGGGTGCAGTGAAGTAATTCATTGCAAAGAGGGGTGAGGTTAGAGAATTGAATAGAAGCCACCCTAATGTAATCTTCACAGGTTAATCAAGACTTGAATATGCCTTCTCTCGATAACATAGTATTTGCCATTGCTCGAATAGTAATTAATTAATGTAAGCAGTGGTATGGGAGGGAGTTGAAGTGCATATCCTTCATTCGACTAAATGCCAAAGCGAAGAGGTTTGATTGATAGTCAAGGGAAAGCAGAGACAGCGCCTAACGTTATCAGCGTCTTATTGGACTTATCCTCCGTCACCAATGGTGCACCGAGATAGAAGCCGTGGGTGAAAGGGCACTCCATCACAGCCGACGGGGCTAAATTTGCACATGTGTCGGTTAATCGGAAGAAAGATGGAGCTAAGTGTCCACATGATATGAATCCACCTTATCAGGCAGTGTAATCTCAGCACCTCTTTCTTCGAAGACACAAAAATGCCTCAGCTCTAACATAACATCAGATAACTTGTCTACACTTTGCCACCTCTTGCAGATCAACCAGACCATCAAGGCATTATCACGGAGAGCGTCATAGATTAGTATGCAGGCACGTGAGGGAGAGCAGGAACGGGAAAAGTATAAAAAAGGTGAGAGGTTGGGAGATCGATTGTTTGTGTGGAAATGTGGAGATGAATAAATTTTAAATTTAACTGAACACCTTCAAATGGAAGTGTGCGCCGTAAAGCGAAAATAGCTGCTTACGTACAATGCATACTGATACTCGGTGAGGGGAGAAGGAGCCACAAATTAGGTATCTGATTAATAACTACTGACCCGCAGATGGCCAAACTGTTCATAGTTAAGATCTTAAGGCGGTTTTGTTGCCATTACAATCATTCGTCTTTGCAGTGATGCTAAATGACGACGATTGTTCGTCTCGCATAAACACCTGTCATGCTTAAACTTTGGCTGGGCACCGATGCACGAGCAATGCATGCCGCACATTTGTCCACGGCCTTTATTCTAGTTAGGTTTTCAGTAAGTGGTATCAAGTGAGAGAGAGAGCAAGGTGTAGCAGATGGTTAGACCAACAGATAGTTTACTTGGTAGGGCCTGGTTCGGCTTATGTGTACCGACTTTGACCAAACCAGCTTAGCTATTGGCTAAGATATAATGACGCATCGTACCGATTGGTTACAGTGCCATGTGAAGTGACCAATAGAAATGGCGAACGTGTCTGCCAGTTTGGAACTGTGCTACACATCACCACTTGGTAAGTGAAAAGTGTGCCGATGGATGCGACCGACATGGATCTCACTTGAGGCGTTTGCACCAAATTGTGGGTTATTTGAGCGCTACATTATATTTTGTTTTCACTGTGACACTTATTGGTAACGGTGAATTGGTGCATCATTTAGTGGTAACATCTGATGAGAATTAAAATGACATACATTGACAAGGTCACTAGCATTCCTGGGTAGATTAGTGAGTGATACTGCCGAGAGATTTTACACAGACAGGTGTGTTGTTTAAATAGGTTAATAATTAACTTGTTGGTTCCCACAATGATTATCAAGTTGGGAAATTGGTAGTGCTGGAGGGAAAAGGGTTGGTAGATAAGAGCAAAAGGGAGAAACGTGTTGTACAGTAAAAGCAGAAATACTTAGGTATTAAGTCTTCTAGCACTTAAGAGTAGAGTTGGAATAAGCATGAAATGGTTGGAAGAATGGAGTTGTGACTTCTCACTGATTAGTGGTAAATCGCCTGTGGCCTTCATCTCCATAAAGCTTTGTGAAATGCCTTACACAAAGGCTTCAGGTACATCAGCGGCGATAGCTGTAGTTGGATAGTTGAGTCGATTGATTGTTGAATAATAAGTTTGCACATGTGTATGCCTTATTTGAGTGTTTGTGATCTCACGGTCCTATTGCCAGACCTGATGAGAATGGGAACATTCCAGTGCAGCAAATCAGTAAATCTGTTTTGCATTTTATATTGCCTCTAGAGGGATGCGTGATATCTACAACCTGCTGTGTGGAAGCACGTTCTCCTCACGAAATAGTCTACCGCCACACATCAGAACCATGATGGCATGTCGTATTCACTGTTATGCTACGTCGACGTGATTCTGTTGAGCCTCAAATGCACCTTCAGGGTGCTTATCCACGATTTGCAGCACCTACTGAATATTAAGCAAAGCGAAACCTTTGGACACTTGCAACAGCTACATTTGTCCATATTGCTATGAGGCACACCGCGACAGTATATGCGTCTTCAGATTTCAAATTGAGTGGCAAGTATTTGAATTTCTCCTATCCCATTTGAGCATTGGCTCTGTTTGTGGCACAATTTAATTCAACTATTTAGATTAAGCGCTAGAAAAACCAACTCAGGTTGCTTGTCACAGAAAGCCTTTCTTTTTTCTTCACGTATTCCAGCCTGCTGGCTCGTGTCAAAATAGAACTCCCTGTCTTCCAATAAAGCGAAATTAAAGTCGCGCTTGTGGCAGTTAGGGATCAGAATTGTTGTTACCGTAGACTGAGAGGAAGAGGAAGAAAGCAACTTTTGCTACCGGGATAAAACTGGACACAGCGTATGTAACCGACTACCATGTAATAGGCCCTACCCTGCAACGCAAAACGGAGCTTTCGTCGAAGTGGGCAAGACCCACTGGAAGGGATTGCGATCGGTGGGGATGTCTGTGGCCAGAGTGTTGAGGAGCCTTTGCAATGACTTCTGCATCCCCACCGATTCTTGCAAATTTTGTTCAGGCGAAAAATGTATGCAGATAGGCGAGAGGTGGTGCGAAAAGAAAGGCGTGTATGAAGCAGTGGAAGAAGCAGCCAAGTATAATGCAACAGTCAGGCAAGTGATATCGCCACTCACCGTAATCCTTTTCAGGGAAGTGTTAACATCTTGAGTCTTGCCCAATTCGACGAAATGGTTCGTGATACGTTACAAGAATGGGCCTATCATCCTGTTGCCGATCATCTCCCCCATATTCAGTTTCACCGTGCCAGCATCCAGTCAGTTTTTAGTAGCCACGTGCACCTCTAGCTCCTCGTTCGCCCAAGCAGCAAAAACTCCGTCCCACGCCTTCCCATCCGCCTCCAATATCGAAGATTCCAACCCCCACAACTACCCTAAATGTCACCTAAATATCAATCTGTAGCAAAGCAGGACATTCTGTATTGCACGGATCATCAGGCTGCACTACATGCAGAACAGGAAGGAAGCCAATCCATGACTCGTTACATTTGCTGTGAGTTTTCTTGCCAGTTACAATATGCAAATAGTTGTACCGATTCGTGGAACAATTAGACCGACTTTTTATCACAAAAAAATAAAAGGTGAATGTTTGTGTTCTGCCACCATTCACAATTCTTTTCTTTCCAGCAACAAGTAAATCCACCTTGCATCGCGTTGCTACTTCCACCATTTAAATGTACGTCCGCAGGGTCTGTAGATGACTCAAGCGCATTCGAACAGTTTGCATACACTTATAATAGAGACACTAGCCACTCGCCTTTCCTCAGCCACAATCTAACCTGTACATAAGCTACTGAGTCTGTACCCTTGCCTCCGCCTCTGTTTCTGTCTCTATCTTATGCGATGCTGATGAAACCGTAGGTGTCTGGCTTGGACTAAGCTGGCCCTATCTGGCCTGCCATTGGCCACCCTAGCCTGGGCGGTTTGGCTTCAATCTCCCCAGTCACATTGTGTAGATAGAAAATAGTGGGTACACTCTAATTTCTACCACGTTAAACTTGCGGTTTATTGAAATGCAACTGGAAGTTCCTCTAGCTTGGGCAGCAGATCCATTAGGTGAGCAGATGGAGGAGAGGGGTGACACGCAGCAGTTAGCAACAAGTGCCATCACCTTAGCTAAATGGAACAGACACGCTTTTAGCGGTGATGACAATCACACAGAACCGGTGTGGGATGGTGACAAGAAGCAATGGTGTATACAAGGCTTCGTCATTCCCCCCATGTAGCTTCACTCTACTAGCCACATAAAAACCGCATTGCGTACAGATGATATGAGAAGATAGAGCTAATCACAGTGACTTCAGTCTTGACACTTTTGTTGAAATAGTCTCTTCTACCATCTCTATCTCACTGCGAAGTTTGCTACGAAAGCTAGGTGGGAAGTGACGATGGTACTCATTCAATCATCAAATTACAGAGAAAGTGGAAGCACTAATGGGAGCATGGAGCTTAAGAATTATTTATTCTTAATCCCACTGGGAATGGGGTAAGTTGGTCGCAATATAAGAGTAGAAGAAGTGTGAATGGGGAGGGTGGAGAAGTATGCAGAAAGAACCCAAATCTTCAATACCATTCAGTGGACCAGATGCAGGATGATGGGTGTTGCAAAGTGATTCCTAATTAAGGAGATTTGAGAGTAGATATTACCAAACTGTGAAATGACACCATGAAATGAGTATCTGAGACCAATCACTTGTTTGCCTAATTAAAATTTTCTTGGTTCCTCAATTCAATTCTTGAATCCACCTTCCCTTGAAATCATAAAGCTGTCATGTATGCACCTTTTTCCATTATTGGAAGGTAACAAAGGTTGGATGTAAAGTGTGTTTTTCAACTAGTGAAAGAAAGGACGAGAAATGTTTGATTCAGTGTAGAGGGGAAGTAGAAACAACGCCCAACATTAACTGGACCATATCGTACCTACATTTGGTCACTAGTGTCACAGTGAATTACGAATCGTGGAGGAGAGGCCCCGCCATCGCAGTTGACCAGACTAAGGTCGCTCAAATGTCGGTTAATCTACGGAGAAAAGTGAGTGCCCACAAAATAAGATTTAACCTGACCAACAGCTTCAGTGCCCAAGAGGTACAAACCATGAACTTCTTTCTACTGAGAGGTACAAATGTCTCTTTCCTATGGTATAACGAAAGACAGCATGTCTAAGCTTTGCGGCCTCAAGTGGATCAACTAAAACATCATGGAGGACGAAGAGAGAGTGATGGAAAATGAGGGAAAAAGAGCGCGTGCCACTTTACTAATTTGAAGGTCTATAAAATCAAACACAACATTCGTATGCAACTCACAACCAATGATATGAGGTCATGCAGAGGAATTAGACGGAATGAGCAGGATGGACGAACCGTGAGCAGATAAGATTTTTAAGTGGTTCAGTCAATGCTGCCGTCACCATCACTTCCATCGTCTACCTTAGCAGTGGTTCTAAGTAAACATTATTGCCCTTCTCTCATAGACACCAAACGTGGTTCCGCATTAGGTGGATACCAACAAATTATCAACTTTATCAATACAATTTGGGAATCTGGCGTCAGAGTTGAGGAACACACTTTTGTGCACTTTATTCC